GTGCGCATGCCCAACATTTCGTCGCCTATTTTTGCTTTGGCACCACAGTGCCACTTACAGGCCTGGCATACATTTTGCAGCGTTTTCATGTATTCGTGTGGACGATCACATTTATTTTACGTCTCCGTTTTTACGACAAACGTTCTGGAAAATATTAGCGTTTCGTGTTCGTTTTGACTTCGTGTGGACGGGGCCTTATTGTATTCAATTTCATAAAACGGAAATATTTTTTAAGTAGAAAAACTTTTTTCAACATGATTTCCAAAATATATCAGCAGCCCATTGAAAAATGCATTTATTCTGGTTTGGCAAGTTTTTTCGGCTTTAATTTAAAACCTAAAATTGTAAATGGTACAATGATAATCAAAAAGGACAAATCTGGGGCACGCTTTGGTGGTGCAGTGGTTAGTGCACCCGACCCATGCATGGAGGCCTTATTAGTCCTCGACTCGGGCGACCCGGGTTTGAATCTGGCCTGTGGTCTTTTTCCGCAGGTCTCTCCTCCTCTCTCAAACCCCTTTCCTGTCAGCCTACTATCCATAAAAACAAACAAACAAACAAAAATTCTTTTGAGGTTCATATTTCCTGAAATCTTTTTCTTTATGTAAAAAATAAAAATAAAAAAAAATCATGCAATATTTTGTGGCTCTAAACGAGTTTTATTCACTAGATACAAGTTGAAAATGGTTCTTTGGTCTGTAAAGGTTACAGACCCCTGCTCTATAGGATATCCCACCCCAGAAGTGAACAGGATGTCTATTTGAAAAGAATGCACTTTGTAAAACTAAGTCTGAAAAAGATAAGAAATAAAATAAATACAATTTGATATAAGAAAAGAATGAAATATGAAAAAAGTGTAAAAAATATTAAATATTAAAAAAAAATGCAACGTTTTTCTCAAAACCTTTTTTGATCCAAGAAGTTTTTCAAAGTTTTGATTTCTAGATTTCATAGTTTTTTTCTTACATTTTTCTTTAAAAAAACTTGCTCTGTTTGCAACAATAATGGAACATAATTCCCTCCATAGAATTCCCTCTGACCCAAACTTAGGCTGAGAGTAGAATCCATTAATACTTTGCTACATCAGAGTACATATAAACTTCATTATTTGAAACTCTGAGCAAACTCTTCTATCATGGTGCTTGGATTAACCAAAGCCTTTATTCCTAATTTGGCTTCAGACGTCCAAAACAAACAGCATCAGGCACTTTGTGGACATTTTAAACGATGATGGTCGTCATCTGTTTGCATGCACAGTAAACAGGAAACGCTGGATCCTCCGTCAGCCTCCTATTACTTTCTGTCTGTGCGTTTTACAGGATGACGTCTCCACGGCCCAGCCTGCTCAACTTCTCCCACGATGGGGTCATCTCGTCTCTGCAGAAGCCCATGGATCTGAAGCAGCTCAAACAGAGGGCTGCAGCTATCCCGCCTATTGTGAGTTGGTCTTCAGAGTTCTAGTGTGTATTTTCGTTTTATGTGCATGAACAGATGAGAGACTGTTGGTAAATCTCAGCCTTTGCTGCTTTGGGGTAGAAAAAAAAGAAGCTTTGACACAGGTTGTGTTCTGTAACTAAAAACAGCTCACTTTATCTCTGCAGCCATATCTGCTCTGTCCTCATTTCTAAACTAAAAGGGGAAAAAAAAAAAGGGACAGCAGGTGAAAATGTGAAGTCATATTTGTTTAAGATAAGGCAGCCAGATGGGCGATGATGGAGTAGATTACTTTGTGGAGCAGAAAGAAGATGCCAAGGATTAGGGAAACTTTAGCTCGCCAAGAAATAAGAGCTGAGTTTTTTTCCTATCGTGTTGATCAGATACTGTAAGCAGCCCCACCATATGGCAGCGCTCGCTAGGAGCTGGCTTGTGTTATGTGACTGGCATGTATGTAACTGTCTTGTTTCTGTGTTTCGGTTATGTGAAGATGCCAGAGGCCTCTGTGCAGGGCACGCAGCGGAGTGAGAGTGGGAAAGCAGCGCAGCCCCCCCACGCCTGGGCACTGTACCAGGAGCAGATCACCATGGCTCATGGGGAGTCCTCTCAGGAAGTCAAACAGCAGCAGCCTTCAGGCCAGGCAGGCAAACAGCAGCCTTATACCCCTCAGGCAGACCGAGAGCGAGAAGGTCTCCTCACCAGCAGCCCTCTGGTTCGCCCTCGAAGCCCCTCCGCCAGCCAAAAAGACGGTACAAAAAACCAAGCATTGCATTTCCATTATATTTTTAGAATGAACATTATTAATCATCTGCTCCAATTGGGCTGTGATGTGAGATTCTTATAGTATATATTTATATTTATTTTTTTTAATGGTTTTTATTCTGTGTTTTGATTTTGTTTCTGCAGTTGTTTTTAATTTTTGTACGGTGGCCTTGAGTGTCCACAAAGGCGGCTTTTAAATAAAATGTTATATTATTAGTATGTTAACCTTGTAGGAAAGCAGCAGAGGTTCACACTGTTGACATGAAAAACTGGCAAACAAAAATCTATTGCATTATTTCCTACCTTTTTCTTTTTCAGAAGGCTTTAACTTTGGATAAAAAATGATGAAGAACCAATAGGAATATAATATAATATACAGTATCTACATTCATTTTTGTTGGTCTTTTAATGCCGAAAAAGACTTTAGGATCAATTGGGATCAAAGAATAAATTATATTTATAATGGATCTTTATTTTTTTTCCTCCTCTTTATTGTATTTAACTCCAAAAATCACTGTTGGCTGTTTTTTTGTTTTTTTATGTTGGGTATCTGTTCCTGTAACCAGCCTGCAGACAGTGCTTAACATAAATGCTGCTCTTAAGTAAGAAAAGTGTTACCTTAAAGAAACAACTGCAACAAATCAATCATATTTTTTCCTAAAATAAATCTAATTTCCCACGATTTTACCAAATATGTAAGATAATTTTCCATTGGATTAAAATCATGTAATTATAACTCTATTATCTTATTTCAAGGTCATAATAATATATTTTTGGTTTGAAATATTAGGCATTTTTATCAGCTCAAATTAAGGGATGATAAACGTTATTTTAAGATGGTTTTACTTATTTTTAGTTTAGTTTTGTACTACTTGACTATGGGTGGGATTTTTGTTTTTATGGAAATAGCATTTGCATTGCTTAGAGGTGTCTGTTAAATGTAATGCCCTTATTTAAGCCAGCTTACTGGCAGTACAAAGCAAAAGAATGTAGGACAATAATTCATGCAACAAGATTACGCTGCATCTCAAAAAAAGGATTTTAAACTGATAAACTGAAAAAAGTGCTTATTTGAGGTATTCATACAGTCATTTATAAATGTGTAAAAATGCTGAATAGAGAATAACTAGGAAGTAGAGGAGTGTTAAAGTCCTGCTCCACATCCAGCTCTGTGGCATTTGAACTACTTTCACTAAGTAGGTCTTTTTGTAGAGGGTCTGACCTTGAGTTTGTTCTTCAGAGTTTAGGGTCTTTATCAGTATCTGGGACGCTCCTGGACAAAGGGGCGTGATAAATGATCTGGTAGCACCGCTGACCCAGAAGGGAATATTGTTTTATTCATTTTACAGTGAGCTTGGAGTGAGTGGTTCTCTGATGCACAGTTCAGATAAATTAAAGCATTTAACTGTACAGAGCAGCTGCATAAGCAAAGTTTCTGCAGGCTTTTCCAAAAAAAAAGTCTTTAGTATTTTCATCTTATGCAATTATGTATGTGAATTTCTTTTTAATTTGGAATCATCTGCAAAAATTTCACCTGTAAAGTTGCAGCAACAGAAAGTGTGACTTTCTGACAGTGGGCGTTACAACACCCTCCAAGATGTGTAACCCACATAGGCTGGGTTCCCAAAAACGGTGAAAACGTTCCTCAGCGTGCAATAAACACACTGAATTCCCACGGCAGCCCAACAACACCAGTTAAACGACAAGAGCTTCTTTGGAAGTAAGCCGTTAAAACGTTTAACTCATGTAATGAGAGCTAATGTTAATAAATCTCTGCCTGACGCGCTGGTGTGTCACATGATCAGATTGGGTGTGTCTGATTGGCTATAAGCTGCTGTACTTGCTCCAGTGCTTGTTACATCGTTGACATTAGCAAAGATGTGTATAAATAACATAAAGAGAAGAATTTTATCTAAAAGGGAAACTGGTTTCGGTCGTAGGACAGAAGGATGGACGGAGGACTTCTTGGATTAGTCGTAGTTCTTGTTTTATGTTGGTTCTAACTTCCTGCATGTATTGATGTTGCAGAAAGGTCCCGGGCGTTTTCTCCACACAGTGACGCCAAGAAGCAGGTGCTGGCCGCTGATGACCTCAGAACCTCCACCTTGGGTCGCCCGGTTCTGTCGCCATTCTCTCAGCACATGCTCCACTTCAACAGTGAGGAACCTTCTCTGTTTGCTCCTGTTACTTTCATCCATGTAAAGAACCACAGCTGAGATTTAATGAGGTTTGTTGTCTTCCAGCGTTCCAACACCCGTCGCTCTCCGGCCTGCCGCAGGATAATGTACGGTTAGCAGCAGTGAGGCCCCTCTCAATGCCTGAGCCCCCCCCTCTTATTTCCTCCAACAAGCCAGGAGGCTCTATCACACAGGTATATCAATTTGAAGGACAATGGAGGTGCTTATCTACTGTTATAGTTGATGTATTGTGCATTGATGACCAACTATTTGGATGTTCAGGGGACGCCTGTTCAGCTGCACAGTGCGGCCCACGGACTGGACCATACGAAGATCCCCCCCGCACCAATGGGGATGTCTTGGATGGAGAAAAAAGTTGGTAAGTGAAACCCTCCGCTGTGTTTCACGTGTCTCTTCTCGTCACTGTGATCTTATTGACTCACCATTACCCAGCAGGTCCTTTCCCAGCGGTGAAGCAGGAGCAGTTGTCTCCTCACAGCTCCTCCCAGGCTGATGACCTGTCAAACCCGGGGCCGCCTCACGACAGTTCCTCTGCACGAGGTGGGTGCATGCTCCTCCTCTCCATTATCATGTAGCCACACAGATTGGACCAAGAGTTATGGTTTTATTGTTGAGTCGGGACCGGAAACGTTTGGGAAATAAAAACAATCTGAATGGTTTTGTTCACGTTTCGGCTAATGAAAAAACACCGTCAGTATATGTCAGAGGTCAGGAATTACTGGACCGGAGGTCTGGATCCGGACCCACCTGCTGGCTAATCCGGACCCAACCTGATCTAAAACTTTTTTCTTTATTCGGATCCTGCTGATTTTTAATTGATATTTGTCGACGGTATTCCTCTTCTAAAATATCATTTAGAAGTTAAATGATTGCAGGTCTCTGGCCAATCACATATAATGATCTTTTAAAAATGCCGATTCATATTTTGACTGATGCTAATTTTTAGTATTTTTTTTATTATAACTGATTTCAGTTGGTATAAGATCATAAGACGCCTTCTATTTTCAATCTTATCCTACCGAAAAATATTGAACAATACCTGTGAAACATTACAAACCTCTGTCGCCCACCAGGTCCTAATTTTCAATATAAATGCAAAGTTTAGAGCGTTGACAGCTGGTGATTGTCAGAAATGTTGCATTGCTAGATAAGATCGGTTTCACAGCTAAAGTATCGGCCGATCAAAGATCTAAAAGCGGAAACAAATACCCCAACACACAACTGGGGGATGTTTAACTGAAATAGAAACTTGTTATTTATCGGTCTAAAAAGGTGAGGAAATGTAAATAAAGGGTCTTCAGCCTCAACAGCAATATTGATATTAGAAAATTGTATCGGCCCAAAATTTCAGATCAATGCGTCTCTAGTTTTTGCCTTAAATCTGGAAATTAATGGTTAAAAGTGATGCTTAAAATATATAAGAAATAACCAAAATTTTTATCTGTATTTGATTTGTTTTTATATATTTGTCCCTTAAGGTGCTCTTTAAATAAAGTTTAAGCTTTTAATTTTCTAGTAAATACATCATTAAGTCTTTTTTGTATTTATTTATATAAATTAAATCTCCTTTATTTGAACATTTTTAAACATTAACCTTCATCAGGTAAAATCTGCATTGGTGGGTAAAAGCTTCAGCCTCACTGCCTCTGATTGGTTCATCTCTACATATAAATACAAGCCACAGGCTCTTCGGTGCACAGATGTTTCGACTCTTTCTGCTCCGTATCATTTCTGTAGGCGTTACAGTCTTAAGATCTTTATCTTGTGTTGCAGCCGTCCAAGGAGGAAGCATCACTAAGGGTCTACCTGGGACCAGAATACACCCGGAGTCTGTTGTGGCCTACCGGCCGGGCTCCATCACACAGGTGAGCTTATCTTTTAAAGCCCTGTTGTACACATCTTCATTGATTAATAGTAACGGGGATATTTTAAGCAAATTTTAAACTTATGCATTTTGTTATTTTTTTTTTTTTACTTGTGTTCCCTATTATATATATATTTTTTTACCATGATGAAGTCAGTGGCACTCGGTGCTGAAAGCTACAAACCTCATGGCTCTTAAATTGTGCTGACACAGTAGTAAGAGTTTTTTTTTTGTTTTTTTTTTGACAGACAGTTGTCAGCTCTCTTCCTCTTTCTGGAAACCTCTCAACATTATCTGAAATGTGTTAAAAAGCGATCTGAAAAAGAGGGTAATCCGTTGCGTTATACTTCTAACCCCATTAGTTCCTCGACTCTGCAGCTCAGGGAAACGCTTCTGAGGTTAATGTGATTTACCAGAGAACGGAGACGTACAGTCAGCAGGAATTGAAACCAACACTGTAAAACCGTGTCAAAGTTCATGCCACAGACGCGCTGTGCCAGCCCCCCCACATCCTGATGCAGGCTTTGCCCTCTGAACACACTAGGCTAAACCGCCGTCCTCAAACATGCAGAGACTTTTCTGTGTTTAACATTTGTTCTTGTGATGTAAGAGCAAAAGAAGAGAACCGGGAAGAGGTCAAACTGCAAACCGTGTGCGGCGGCTGCTGGATTGCCGCCTTGCTCTGACATAACAGCTCTGAATGGATCCGTAGCCGTAGCAACGGGTACACGCTGTGCCGCATCTGTTCCCTCTGTTATTTATCCGCGGAGCTCAGATGCTGGCTCCACCCAGTTGCCGGTGTACACGTTCCAGTTTGCCATCAAACTGGCACAGGTAGAGGAAAACAAGAGAAAAGGGAATGTTTGTCTTATTTGGCTTGACGCTGGACGGGTTGATAGGTGGAGGACCGTGATTAAGGTTTCTGAGGACTGTTTTAGTCCTTACTATCTGGTAAACAGACACCCATCCCCTCGCCCCCTCTTTTGGTAAACACTTCTTGGAAAAGCTGCAGCCGTTGGATTACAGCTCCTCTCCCAGTAACTGCCGTCTCTTATTTTCACCATCCACACATGCAGTCATCTCTTGACCAATTGGAGCGGGCAGAAATATGACTCACACCAAGTAAAACTGATGGTATTTAAGGTTTATACCATGAATGTTAATCTTCTACTCTTTCAGATGGTTTCACCTTTGCTTCATTTAGAAGTCAAGCTTTGCCTCAGAGGTGTCTCTGTGTTAATTCGCTTTTTTTCCAACTGTATAACTTGTGTGGTTAAATTTTGCTGTAGGCAAAAAGGCAAAGCTGTAGAAGTATTTCAGATGGTGCTATGCTGTTTCATGGGCATGCATATTTCATAGATGTGTGTAATGTAGACTATGTTTAGCAACGTTTCAGCTGGCTGTCGCATTAGGATGTACATGGTAGGCATCTTATTCCTCTCGCTTTTAAAGCCCATCTTCACTACTGGTAATGGAGATACTCTGTCAGGAACTGTGTGGCTAATATCTGATCTCTTTCTATATGAGAATAAAAAGATATAAGAAAATAAAATCTTTTTCTAGCCTTTTACCCATAAGAATAGTTGTATTTAATACAATGTAGTTTACTATTATTGTATTTAAACTGTCTAATTTTTAAAATGGTCTTTAGTTTCTTATATTAGTGCAGATAGCGATAGTTAAATCCTATTCAAAAGGTTTCCTAATTGCAGGTGCAGGGCGCCACCTTTTTTACAATACATATACAAAGTTGATTATTCTTCTGAATTTTTATTTTATCTCTTCTGTTAAATAATTTAATTTAAAGACTTAAACACAATCAAGTTTTAGTTTTTGTTCTAATTTTAATCGTTATTTACATATCCGACCCCTGACTGCTGTTTGTAGAGATGTTTAAATACTTTTCTTTATAGGATTGTCACAATAAAAATTAAAAAAAAAAGTCGATACCCGGGAAAATGTTTGATACTTGATACCATTTTCTATACCGTTAAGATAAAAAATTAATGGATAAAAACTCTCCTTTTTTATCTTAGTATAGAACATGCTTTATCATCAGAATCCCAGATGGTATTTCAATAAGTGTGAAAATAAATGCTAAATAAATACTACAGATTGACTTTATTTTATGTAATGAGTTTTTATTTTTTAATTTGCTAATAATCCTAACATCAAAAAAAAAAAAAGACCATTGCAAAAAATATTAAAACAGCACTTCCCTGTAATACCGATACAATGCCAAATTAGCAAGGTGTCAGGATTCAGCATTTAACGGTAACGTTATTTTTGACCACCTTCGTTGTTGTTAAACTCAAAAATAAATAAAAAATCACTTCCTTCTCTGGTGGTTGCGGCCATCCCGATGTCTGCACCCCTAGTGTCCCGGTAATCTGGAAAGGGCTCTGGATATCTCGGGCTTGCATTGCCTCTTTTTCTGTCCAGGACTCATCTGGGGCCACCCACACCTGCTATTAAGCAGGGGTTGATGTTAAGGATTTTATAGTTTCAGAATTCCCTGACTTTTAACTGACTCAGGATTAGTTTTCCCTGACAAAATAAATGCAGCAACAAGACAATAATAATAACATAACAGGACACCAATTTAACATATTTAGCTCTATAACATTTAAATGCACCTCTCCAATGTCTAAGAGAAAAAAATTAAATGAACATTGTTTAATGTATGACCTTAATTTCATTGCACCGGGCAAGTGCAATGAAATTTTACTCTCCCAACAATAAAAGCTACTTGCGATCGGGCAATGGTTAACATCGAGCCCTGTTAAGCATCTTTTACTTCTGAACAATCTTTGTGAATCCTTTATACATGAGCATGCTCATTAGGGATGGAACGGTTTATGAAAACCGTCTGAACCGTTCGGTTCGACTGTCTCTGTTCGACTCGCGTGTGTTGCGTACGGTTCATGCGC